AAGCAGCTCTGCACCATGGAAAAGGACCCAGTGTTGGTTTCTCCCATCCTATTCCTCACTGGGTCTCTTCACATCCTTTCCATAGTCATGAACCTCTGCTGTCAGATGCAGTGTAGCAGTTGCAGAGAATCACAAGCAGAGAGAACATTGTTGCTTGTGGGCTTCTCTTAGGCATCTGGTTGTCTACTATGAGAGCAGAAGGTCAGATTTAACTAATGGGTCCCTCTAGCAGAAGGTCTGTTTGAACTATGAGCAGCCTGTTTCCTCCCTGCTGGTTATTATAAGAATGTCATAACTAGCATTAGGAATCTGATGCCTGAGTCTTCTCTCCCCATCCCCATTTCCTTTCATCCCAGAAAGTCCGAGGTTGTGTTACCTTTATTAAGATGCAAGCAACACTGGGAGCCTTTCTGGCTAAAGAGCAGGACAGAAATGTTTTGATATGACTAAGACGCGCATATCTGAAATGAGAGGTGGGTGCTGGGGATCACCTGGGCTCTATTTATTTATTTATTAGACACACTCAGGTAATTCCCAGCAAAATCCCTTTTGTGCTGGGGCAGTGAATGCAGCTCAGATACAGTTTCATACAGAGAAATCAGACAATATAACCTATTCTCCAAATCGATGCATTTCCAGACAGTGATTCATCAGCAGCTGTAACAAAGCCAAATAGGTGAGAAAACCCTTTTCAGCCCCCGCCTGTTTACTTTCAGGCCTTCGAACTTAATTGCTGGAGAACTGTTGCTACCTGTTGATTCATCCGGATCAGGATTTTTGTCTCCCCCGCCTCTCATTTTTGATACTAGGACAAAAGGATAAATCAAGTCAGGTGTCGGGAACGGAAGTGCCAGCATCCGTGAGTGCTGCTGATCCCAGACTCTGAGAGTTTTCTACACCTTTGAGACTGAACTAGAGAGAACAGGATCTTGGTTTTTTAAAACACATACACATTATAAGCACCTGCAAGGGGTCCCAATAAAATTCAGGGCCAGGACACTGAAGACAACTGGGAGTTTAACCTCTTTCTCCCACAACACTTCTAGATCAAAGCTCTACAGAGGCTATGTTCACACCATAAAGCACATTTAACATTACCACTCTGCAAGAATCCAGGAAACTGTAGCTTACACCAATGCCCAACGCCCTTAACAAACTACAGTTCCCAGGATTCTGGCTGTCTATGTGTGCTTTACATGCATGGAGTGTACACAGCCAGAATCTCCCAGATCTGGTGGCACAGAATGGTGGATCCACCCAACACTGTGGCTCACTTTTTCAAGACGCACCTCTGTCCTCCTTGGAGAACCTCAGTGTAATTTATAAAGTCATGCATCTTGCATGTTCCCACTGGTCATTATTTCTCTCCCCCATATGGCTGGAAATGGGTAACCTCAGCAGGCCTGGAGGCAATAGAAATCAGAAAACCAAGACCCTTTGGAAATGTAGAAGTGCTGGGGTGGGCTACTTGAAATCAGTTCTCTTCTTTCTGTCTTTTGCTTCACTTAAAAGTTAGAGGTCAAACAGTTAAATTCCCTGATAAATGTCCCCAAATCGCAAAACCACAGGATAATAAGTTTCCCCCCACATGCTGAGAATGTGGTTGGGGAGATAAGCCATGATGTCCTACTCTAGTTATCTCGTTCCAGTTACAGGAGCCAAATGGGAGTGAGGAATGGAAGTGGCTTAAATACCAAAGCAGGGCATCTTTTACAGCTTTCAGATAGCATTATTGCTGAGTTGCTTGGACAGGATAATATCAGACAATTACCAAGGAATGAAAAATAGCTGGTAGGGAATAGCAAATAGCTTTTTAAAGAATAATAACAATAATAAAAAAGAAGCCCCCACCAAATGCAAGATGATTGGTGCACTGACCTTTCTTTGTATTGTAATGTGGACTGCAAAGTTTTACAGACCTGATGGCACCAGCTCAACCTAAAAAAAAAAAAAGAAGGGTAAAAAAAAGAGACCACAATGCAAGATAATTTGAAGAATAATGAGGTTACAGCAACTGGGAAGACACAAAGAAAACTAATGTCGGTTATCTCTTCGCTCAGTTCAGTCAGAAAGAATCAAGTGTTTCAGCTTTCACATTAATAGGTGGCAGATGGATGGTTCCCAGTTGGGCTTATCAAGATTTGCTTGCTTTTTGGATTAGTGAGGGGATTTGGAGGAATAGGATGTCTCTTTGTACAAAGTCTCAGAGCATTTTCTGGGCTTACATTGTCTCTCAAATTGTATTTTCTTATTTGTGCACCAGCGAGGTGGGAAATTCAGGGGAGGCAAGAAATCACCTGTTACCACCCCTTTTAGAACTTGCCATCACATGTTGCAGAGATGTGTGAAAGCTCTCTAGGAAATGTCACTCATCTTACCCTCATTTTTTGTCTTTTTTTTTGGGGGGGGGAGCAAATCCAGCAGATGCTCTACCTTTGAAGGAATCTTCCAGTTCATCTCGGGATTTCTCTTAGATTGAGGCGCAGGCGGACATCTGCCAGTCCCCAGATGTTCTTGGACTACATATCCCATCATTCCTGAACACTGGCCATGCTGAGGCTGGTTAGAGTTGAAGTCCAACAAGATATGGAGGGCCACAGTTCCCATCCCTGACTTAGTTGAAATCTGGTCACAAGGGAGGGATGTCAGTCAGGGGAGTGGGGAGGTAGCACTGTGATTTTTGAGACGCGGCGGGGTAGGCGGCAGCAAGATTGGGGAAGATCCGGATTTACACATGCCGTATTTTTCGCTCTATAACACACACCCGACCATAACACGCACATAGTTTTTAGAGGAGGAAAACAAGAAAAAAATATTTTAAACGAAACAGTGGATGTATGATTTTTGTGGTTCATGCTGTGGCCACAGACATGTGATCTGACGGTGAGTTTGAGGTAGCCCAATGCAAAAATCCTGAGGATCCATGTGGATCCATACTTTGTAACCAGGTTTTTGCACCACTGCGGCCCCAGGCAACAGTGGGTGCGTGATTTTTTTGGTGCAAGCTGTAGCCATGGACATGGTGACCCAGTGCAAAAATCCTGAGGATCCATGTGGATCCGTGCTTTGTAACCACGTTTTAAGTGGGGAGGGAAGGAAAAGCACTCAAGGGACAAGGAATACGGGTGGGGTGGGTGGAGAAGGATGCTGTTAATAATGCAGAAGAGGGGTATAAGAGGAGAAGCAAGCAGGCTCTGTTTCTCTCCCTCCTCCCCAGCTCGCTGAAAAACTTTGCTGCTATTTAGCCAGCTGAGTGGGGAGGAGAGAGGGACAGAGAGCCTGCTTGCTTTAAAGGAGCCAACCGGACAGGAGCCACTTACACTCATGTAAGCGGCTCCTCTCCTCTCCCGCTTTGCTCCTTTAAAGCAGGCAGGCTCTCTGTCCCTCTCTCCTCCCCACTCAGCAACTCTTCTCCCGCTTTGCTGTTTCAAAGCGAGCCACGGAGGAGGGAAGGAAGGGAACCATGGCTCCTCTGCTTACGACTGCAGCAGATCCCCCCGCCATCCATAGGCATTCGCTCCATAACACGCACAGACATTTCCCCTTACTTTCTAGGAGGAAAAAAGTGAGTGTTATGGTGCAAAAAATATGGTAAATAGTAAGATCTAAAATAAAGATGCAAAAAATAATAATATCAATAACAGCAACCCCTTTGCAGTAAAACTCCCTGAACAACACTCCAGCCCAAGATTCAGCCCAAGCCTCAGCTTTTTTTAGTTGGAGTCAGTCCGAGCCCCACCCTCCCAGGCCAGGTAGAAAGGCCTGCAAAGCAGGGAGCAAGTCTTCTAGCCCTCGCAGCAAGATAGTCAAAGTAGAACAATCTTCCCCATTGTGGTGTTCATTCATCTTGTCATATGTGGAAATAACGCATCAGATTGAAATGACAGTGATGCGATTTACGGCAATTGGATGCAGCTACATGTCTGGGGGTAGTTAGTTCATTCATACCCCAGGTGCACTTTTCCTCGGATGACTATTTGAATCTGAAATGGGCACACGCTGAGAAGAACTCACTTTGCCAGTTTCGATAAGTGCCTAACGATCTGGAGTCAAAGAGCAGTTCTTCAGCTGGCACCAGCGCCAAGCAATCATCCCCAAATCCGCCAGCCGTAATGAGGATATCTTGTTCTCTCCAGTTTGGCTTTGAGATGCGGTGGCTCTGTCATCGCTGCAAGAAAGACTAGCTGGTGTTTGGCACGGGGTTAAGTGAAGAATCCTGAGAGCCACTTTGGCAAATGGCTAGCGCTGCTGGAACTAAACGGAACACATTCTTTGGACTGGATGTTGATGGATTGCTTGTAGTGTCTGGAAGCTAGCAGAAGGGCATTAAGGAAGATGGAAGTCAGTTGCTTGACAGAAGTAATGTGATCAGCATCCATGCATGGCAACTCAGGACGTAGGAAGACAGATTATATTTAGTCAGTAAGAACAAGGTAAGATGTTTCCATTCAGGGTGTGACTGGTACTGCACTAAGAAGAAGAAGAGGCTTTTAGGGGGGCAGGGAGGGCCCGGGTTTTGCAGGTGCACAATAGATACATAAGACTTGCTAGATCAAATGTCCATTTACAGTGCAATCCTCGGCATGTTTATTCAGAAGTCAGTCCCATTGAATTGAATGGTAAGTGTGCGTAAGATTTCAGCCTGAGTCCAGCATTTCGGCTTGTAACACTGGTCAGCCAGATGCCCCTGAGGAATGTATAAGGGTGATGGTCTTCTCCTAACTGACTGCACCCCCCAGCCTGGTGCCTTCCAGATGTTTTGGACTACAACTTCCAAGCTCCAGCCAAGTGACAACAGTTGTAGTCCAAAACATCTGGAGAACATCTAGGAACCTTGCTAAATCAATCCAGCATCATGTCCTCACAGTGGCCAACCAGAGATGCCCGTGGAAAGCAAGGAATCACAGAATCACAGGGCTGGAAGGGACCACAAGGGTTATCTAATTTAACTCCCTCCGTCGGTAGAGCATGAGACTCTTAATCTAATGCAGAAATCTTTTTGCCCAACGTGGGGCTTAAACCCACAACCCTGAGATCAAGAGTCTCTTTCTCTGCTGACTGAGGTATCCTGAATATGCTGCCTTCAAACATAGAAGCTTCATTGAACTATTGTAGCTTGTATAAGGTGACCATTTACACATCACCACACAACGAGAATACACATCGCCCCCCAAAGAGGGCAGTAATGAAAAGAGATTTGCACAAAAAGTTGCATATACAGTGGTACCTCGGGTTAAGTACTTAATTCGTTCCGGAGGTCTGTTCTTAACCTGAAACTGTTCTTAACCTGAAGCACCACTTTAGCTAATGGGGCCTCCTGCTGCTGCCGTGCCGCTGGAGCCCGATTTCTGTTCTCATCCTGAAGCAAAGTTCTTAACCTGAGGTAATATTTCTGGGTTAGCGGAGTCTGTAACCTGAAGTGTATGTAGCCTGAAGCGTATGTAACCCAAGGTACCACTGTAGTAATTTATGTGCGCAGATGTGAATTTAGAAATAAATCCAATGGGTTGAATAGAAAGACACCTCACCATAGTAGGAAAGACTGTGACCAGGTGACCTGCTCAGTCCAGGTGGGTAACCATTGATGGGCAACTGCACAGCCTTTGACCTCCCTTCTTAGAGTTCTTTACCTTTAAACTGGTCTTGGACTAAGCTGACCTTCAAGTAGAAGGCTGTTTTCCATAAAGCAGAAGACACGTGCTTTGACAGAGGGCTGTAGCTCAGAGTTAGAGCCTCTGCCTTGCATATGCAAAAGGCCACAGGTTCAACCTCTGGCATCCCCAAGCAGTGCTGGGAGAATTCCCTGCCTGAAACCCTGGAAGGCTGCTGCTAGTCAGTGTTGGCCATACTGAGCTAGATGAACCAATGGTCTGATTCAGTACAAGGCAGGTTCCTATGTTTCACACACCCTAGACTAAGACCCAACAGTAGACTCATCCTCCATTCATTTACGATGGCAGCCAACCCTATACAGGTTTACTTAGTGGCAGGCCCCACAATGCTCAGTGGGGCTGACTTCCAGGTTTGTATATGATTTTTACAGGGATTTTCAGCACATCTACTCAGGTATAAATTTCCAGGTTCCACACTATAGTAATATGAGGTTTGTGATGACAAAACTGGGTTAAATTCCCCTCTTTAGATCATGCAAACTAAAGAAAAACCATCTGTACTTCCAATCGTATGTGTGTTCTCGCTCTCTCTCTCACACCCACCCACAAAGACAGAAGTCACTTTTCTCAAAATCAAAATATTCCTTTCTCCCCCTCTTAGAACACAATGTCTTGTTTTCAGACACTTTCATGAAAGCAATATCTCACAGGGACTAAGTATCCATTAGCTAATTTATAGTATATAAAGGAATTTAAAGCAATGTACACAAAGAGCTGTGTCTAAAATCTGCCAAGCATTTGGAAGGAATTGGCATTCAGGAAAAACATTGGGGGTGGGGAGAGCAAAACAATGTGTTTCTGCATGATTCATCCATTTGGTTGAATTATGAAGCAGATGTTAAAATAACTGTCATGGTGATCCTACTTGGATGGAAACCGTTGTTGATTACACTGACATTAGCATCACAGTCACAGTTGATTCTATGTTATGAATTTAGAATATAGAATTTAGACTTTATCTCTCAACCCTAAGATTAGATTGATGTATGGTGAGGTTTATCATCATCATCATCATCATCATCATCATCATCATCTCTTTATATGGCTTCTGCACCAAGGCTCCATCACGTGTGCTCCCCTTCTCGTTTTCTCCGGTGTGACCACAAGAAAGAAGTCAGAAACATTTGTCTGGGTTTTCAACTAACCTCAGTTTGCTACTATGTCCAAAAACAGGATCTACAGCTTGTTTAGGGTATATCTGAACAAGCCAGGAGTGTAAATTATGGTTTGAAGTTGTGGGTGGCTTTAAAGTAGGGTGGTGGGAGGGTTGGAATCATGGAGGATAAAGCTACCAGTGGCTTCCAGTCATGATGGCTATGCTCTGACTCCACAATGAGAGGGGTCAATAGTTCTCAGTACCAATTGCTGGAAGCCTTGGGAGTGGAGAGTTCTCTTATCCTGCTTGCAGATTTCTGCAGACATCTGGCTGGCCACTGTGAGAAGAGAAGCTGGACCAGATGGACAACTGGCTTGAGCCCACAGGTTCTTCTTGTGTTCTTAAGGGGCTCTTCCTTAATAGCACTCTGCTGAAGCACTGGGCATATTTAAATAATTTTGATTCTCCCTCTCAATATGTCATTCCAAGAAAATGGTGTATAGATATGCTACCACTCAGATTATAGTTATGAATCCTTATGTAAACATATAATAGATCTTTTAAGACTGCTGATCCACTTTAGACCAGAGGCGTCATAACCGTCGTAAATAGAGAAAAGATCCACGAGGAAAACTTTGGAAGGGGTTTTCTAAGAAAGGCAGTTAATCTCTACATTGCAGCTCGAATTCTTTTGCACCCTCCCAAGAAAGTTGAGCATCGGTTCTCTCCCGCCCCTCACCCCCCAGTGGGAACTGGACATATTTTCGTGTGTGTTCCAGGCAAAGAATTTCCAACATTATGTGGAATTTTGGCCGGAGGCAACTTTATGTGACAGATGTTTAAAGAAAGAGGGGTTGAAAGTGGATTAAGGCATTCTTACAATAATACAGGGGAACATTTCAGCTGCTTTGCCCAGCCTGGTTTTGCATATCCATCCGTTCTGTCAACAGAATAAGTAACCCACTTCAGACAAAGAATAAATATTAATGAAACAAGGCTTTAGGACTCTCAAGTGTTAAACTAATACTGTACGCTTGAGAATGAAATTAGTCAACTGGTGCCAAACGCATTTGTCTAGTTTTACCCGTCTTATTTATTGGATTACATAAAGCATGTTGCTTTAAGTAATGAATGATAATTATATGACAGGCAGTAATCATTTTCTCTCACTCCCCCCACCCAAGTGGGTGCATTGGAATATGCCATAGGTTGCTTGTGCATTGTATTCGCCTGCAAAGCACACACATGCCAGTCAGCCTTATCTAATTACGGGAAGCAAAGGGGAGCCAAGGGAGCTTCTCATACTCTCCATGCTTTGCGTTCAGCTTTGCCTGCCAGCTGGGCCCACATCAAAAACCCTCTTCCTGATCCAAATAGTATCAAGCCTGTTTATTTCAAGGGCTGCCTCCTGAATACGACCTTCAGGGTTGTTAAGACACCTGACAAAAATCTGCCATGCAAACTATGGACGGATGAGTCAAACTATTTCTGGGCCCTATACAGGGCCGAACCTACCATTGGGCAGAGTGAGGCACGCACCCCAGGCAACAGGTGCTTGACGGTCGGATGTGGTATTGAGGAGTTGAAAGGACAGAGGGCTGAGCATCCTGCCTTCAGCTGCACCATCTCGGTGTCAGTTTTGAAGTAAATTGACCCGGTTGGCTTCTGTACATGGAATGGAGGCGACAGGTGACGACTTGTCCAACTTAACCTCGGGGAGCAAAATATCATGGGCCAGTCCTGCCCATATGACCTTTGCTTCCACCCAGTCGGACTTTGCTTCCACCCACCCAGATTTTAATCTATGATTGAAACACAGATTTAAATAAGTATTAAGCATTCAAGTACACAGGCTGAGACCCTACCTGTCCGCAGACTGTCTCACCAGAGTGGTACATGCTCTACTTATCTCCCACTTGGACTACTGCAATGTGCTCTATGTGGGGCTACCTTTGAAGATGACCTGGAAACTGCAACTAATCCAGAATGTGGCAGCTAGACTGGTGACTGGGAGTGGCCGCCGGGACCACATAACACCGGTCCTGAGAGATCTGCATTGGCTCCCAGTACGTTTCTGAGCACAATTCAGTGTTGGTGCTGACTTTTAAAGCCCTAAACAGCCTCGGCTCAGTATACTGAAGGAGTGTCTCCACCCCCATCTTTCTGCCTGGACACTGAGGTCCAGCACCGAGGGCCTTCTGGCTGTTCCCTCACTGCAAGATGTGAGGTTACAGGGAACCAGGCATATAATATGTTGTTGTTGTTGTTGTTGTTGTTGTTGTTGTTGTTGTTGTTATTAAAGTATCATATGTTTTTAAAAACACATTTATCTCTCTCAAGGTATACATTTCTAAATATATTTTCTGTCAAAATGTATTTTTTTAAAAGGGGGGGAGAGATGTATTATTTATTTATTTTACCTGAAAACTGTGTTGAATGCGCAGGAACATAGGAAGTCAGGCCATTGTTCCATCTAGCTCAGCATCATCTATGCTACTGGCCTTCAACTAGTGGGTCAGAACCCAGCCTGATCTAAGTGGGTTGTGAGAGCAGTACTAACACCATGCTAATACAGGCAGAAGAATTAAGAAATAGGTCCCCAAATGCATGTTTGACTTAGAGGTGGGTTCTGGGTCTGAAAAGATGGAAGACTACTGGTCCATGTTGTCTATAGATGCTTCTTCAGGGTTCCAGGCAGAAAGGAGTCTTTCCCAGCCCCATGTGGAAAAGCCAGAGATTGAACCTGGAAACTTTTGCACGGAGAGCAAATGCTTGACCACTGAGCTACAGCCTTTCTGTAAAATATTCTGAAAGTGTGAAATGTGTAAAAGCTGGCAGGTAGCTAAATTCTGATCTGCGTATTAGCAGAGCAGTAGATGACCTGTGTCGTCCCTTCCAGCTCTATGATTCTGAGATTCTGAGGAGGTGCGAATCAGATCACTTTGTATTAGAATTCTAAAAGATCCCATTCCTCAGGCAACCTGACCCCTAAAATTGTCATCTCCCAGCCATGCACACAGTGTGTAAATCTCATTGAGATGGTGGTTGAGGAGACAATCAATAAATCATTGGTGGTGGTGATGATGATGATACAATACATTCTGCTTTTAGCCATGCTGGTATTCTTGTAGTTTACACAGCTAGCAGGAACCAACGCAACACTGTCTGCAATGGGCAAAATGATATCATAGTGAGGAAAATAAATGCCTTCCTCCCCCACCTACATTTTTGAACTCCTTATTTCAAACATTTGTCTTTTATTAATTTCCAAAAATGTTGCAGTTAACAAGGCAAGGCATTTCAACAACTTTCCATGATACTGGAAATTTTCCTGGAATCTCTCAACAAAGAAAAAAAAAGATTTTAAACATCAGAATCATAGTGAGTAACTTCAGAATGCTAATCCAACTTTCTCCTTCTTCCCCTAACCCCTAGAGTTATACAGTATTTGACTTGTCTTTGATCGCCTGGTCCAAATATCTAGGATTTGGGCGTGGGTTTTTTTGTTGTTTTGTTTCCTAAAGAAAAGTTTGGCATTAATCAGAAATATTAAATAACCGAACAATATTAGACTAGGATTCTTGTTCATTAGGAGTACAAAACAAGATTTAATTCCTTTCTCTCCTGATTGCTACAGCAGTAAATATTTAGTAATTGTGTTGATTATTACAGTACGGAATTGTGAACATTTGAAACTGCATAGCTCTGATTTCAAAGCTCTTAAGTCATCCTCACAATGCTTATTGTTTTGGTCTGGGACTGTTCATTTTAATGCTCTGGCACAGAACCGATGCATGATGAGATCAAAACTCATCACCTCCTAAAGATGCGCGGATGAAAACTGGATTAGATCAGAAGGATGTGAGCCATTATCTCATGGCTTTTCAGAGCATTCAAGTGATTGACCTCCATGCCATTACAATCAATATGTAATAGCATCATCACCTCAGCTATTATCCAACCTTTGGTTAACAAGCTGCATCTGCTCAGAAATAAAGGTGGCAATTTCGTTGTTAGACTGATCAGCCACGGTAAAAGAAATGGCACTGTGGAAATGACACTCTTTGTACTGTCCTGATTTTTGAAAATATCCCCCTCCCCCATTGAAATATATATATATTTACAAGCAGGTTCATACCTGTCCTGGTTCCAGGGCCAGCTCATCCATGAGGCAGAGTGAGGCAGGTGCCTCAGGCAGCAAACTCTGAGGCGCAGAAGTGGCTAGAAAAGTGTGTCATGTGGTCTGCCCTGCAGCCCTTAGCTATCTTGCTGCCCCTAGGGTGCAGTGGAGGACTCTGTTTCATCATCAGTGCTGACGTAAGAGTCAACTACCAGTCTAGTCAGATTTTGTGCATAGAAGAGGGAATGCACCATCTTGTCCTTTGCCTCAGGCAGCAAAATGACTTGGGCTGCTCCTGCCTGGTTCCCACTTGCTGACTCGGAACTCAGACTCCCAGCTCGGATATTTTGATTAAAAAGCTTTATTTCAAAAATCAGGATAGCGTCCCAATATAGCTCAGGTTACAGGTTGCTTAAAGCATGGCAGAGCTCTTCAGTAGAAGGCTAGGCATAATATGTTGTTCCTGGCACTGTGGGCAGCTCCACAGTACAGGGCATCAAGCTGAGGGGGCAAATAATGATGATAATGATAATGATAATGATACCATCTAAGGGTACATACTCAGAAGATCCACAAAAAGCAACTTTACCAAAAGGAAATATTGTGAAAATAAGGAATACTTAGGGTGTGTGTGCCAAATTTTGTCCTCACTCAAGGTGCCATATTACCAAAGTATGCCCCTGGTTGTTTCAACACCTGACATGCCCTCTAGGCTCCCCTTTAGAAGAGTGAAGTGGGGGGGGCAGTTATTCATGGGGTTATTTTCCTGAGTCTCGGGTCTGGTATACAACTCTTATGAGCAAGCAGACAACACAATTGCCTCCACATCCTGGGAGACAAAGGTGGAGACCATGGTGCCAGCTGATGGTGGGGACATTAAACAGGGCCTTTCTGGTTGCAATACCAGATTGAAAAACTATCTCCTTCCAGTGATGGCCAAACTTGGCCCTCCAGCTGTTTTGGGACTACAATTCCCATCACCCCCAACCACTGGTCCTGTTAGCTAGGGATGATGGGAGTTGTAGTCCAAAAACAGCTGGAGGGTCAGGTTTGGCCATCACTGCCTTAGACAGACACTGTTGGCCTTTTTTGCCTATAGTGTTTAGACAAGCTGTTAAGGCCATTACATTTTGCTCGTTGTTTAGTTTGAGCTAATTTGCTCCTAATTGGTAGATAACGATTTATGCTTCCAGCTTTTATTGTACGATTTGTATATTTGGTAATTATAATAGTGAGCTGCCCTGGGAACCCCATTTTAAAGCTAAAGGATGAAGTAGAAATAGGTTTTAAAAACTAAATAAACATTTTTCCTCTTTCCTTTTCAGCTTTAAGCAAGGAACTGTTTTGCGGAGACTTTGCAATCCTGCAGATGCCATGGGCAGCTCCCTACCACTTTGAAATTACTGCTGTGTCCTTTTTAAAACAATTATTTCACCAAATATTCTCTAAGGGAGCAGGAATTGAAATTCTCCAAGAGGTCAAGAGAAACTCAAACAAGAAATCTTTCAGGAAATGTATCAGAGCGTTCTTTGACGGTTTCCCCACTCCCAAGCTCTAAAGTTACATGGATGTCATTGGACACATTGCATTGTTTCCAACACTGCTGTTCCACTAGTGCAATGCAGACTTCGCTTGTGCAACAAAATGTCCTTCTCCTCTCGCCTGCGTTGCCCCTGGGGGACTTTCCAGAATCATCACATTAGAATAACAAGAAACCTAAACTTGCAATACCTGTTGGGACTTCATATTTCAGTGAGTTTCCCCCATGGAATTCCACTTGAGGATGCACACATAATTTCCCTTTGGAAATCTACTATTGCCTGACAATCAGATGAAGTAAGACAAGCAATTTCCCCTCGCACCTGGAAATGATTTCTTTGCCCCATCCGACATTTGTAATACGTCAAATTAAATTGGTGATTACGATTTTCAGCGTTGCCGTGCTGTTTTCAAAGTTTCTTTCTTCTTTTTGAATAGCAGCGTGGGCTCGAAAACAATGGTGCACATGCCATTGCTAATCAAGAGTGTGCCTTCTAATTAGTCGTGCCATCATCAAGCTAAAGCGAAGGAATTCGCCGGAGAACCTTTGACACGCCAAACAGGCTGTTTATGCGTTGCACACATATATGGGCACTCGGTTTCAGGAGGAGGAATGCCAGATTTATATTCCTTTCACCCACATTATGAATCACAGCCAGTGAAGCAAACAGGATAGAAGGGAAAGTCCAAACACTTTATTAACTGCAGTGATTTTTAACAGGTTAAATATGCTTGCACTCATTGGCACAGTCATGATTTCCTTCCATCTCTGCAATACACCATAAAGGTGTACCTGGAATATTGTCTATACTGACTGTTAGAGGCTTTCCAGAGTTTCTGACAAGGGACATTGCCAGTCCTACCTGGAGATGTCAGGGATTGAACCTGCAAAGCAGTTGATTTATCATTGAGCTACGACCCTTCATTGACTGCACTGATTATAAGGAATAACCTATTTGTCCCATTAACCGCTGTTATTGTTGATTGTTTTCTAGTGATGCATAGCTGGAAACAAAGTGCTTCCTGAACTAGTTGTATGGAGGAAAGTTGTTCTGGGGAATGCCATGAAGGCATAGAAAACCTAGAGCAGCAGCTTTTTTAAAAAAACTGCAGGGTAGGAACTATAAAGTTATTTTGTTGTCTGTTTTAAGTAAAGTTATTCTTTCTTCTGTTGGCATAATTTGTAAAGTTTGCAAATATGATAATTGTGGCCCCCAGACTCTGATAGCTGACCCACAGACCCCCTCAGGAGCTCTAAGCCAGGCTTGCTCAACCTCGGCCCTCCAGATGTTTTGAGACTACAATTCCCATCATCCCTGACCACTGGTCCTGCTAGCTAGGGATGATGGGAGTTGTAGGCCAAAAACATCGGGAGGGCCGTGGTTGAGGAAGCCTGCTCTAAGCCTTTACCATTATTTGATGTTTTTATTTTGTAAGCCACTTTGAGATCCAGACATGGTGAAAAGCAGAGTACAGTACAGTTTCTCTCTCTCTCTCTCTCTCTGGGTTTCAATTCCCATCCTAAACCATGGGAACAAGGCTATATACCAAGCTAAATACCAGGTTTTCTCTAGTATTTCTCTGCTAGTAGCCCCAACCACACATCCTACAGGATTTGCTCTGTGGTGAGAATCCGTAGTCAAAGTAAGCCTACAGAAATTAACGTGCCTGGGCTGATCATGGCCGTTAATTTCAATGGCTCTGCTCTGAATATGACAGACAACTTCACACTGTTTCGCAAAGAATTAAATCAAATCGGGATTAAAGGTTTTTCTCAGGGTGAGGGCATATGTGCTGGTGATGGCACTTCTTCTGATAGGAAATATTCTGCAGGCATTGTGGGGGGGAGGATACAAAAATGGTGTGTGTGTGTGTTGAGGAAGGTTTGTTGGGGTGGGGGTGAGAAATGTTCCTATTTTCATCTGAGGGATTTCAGAGGGTATGCCACAATTCCCATTATCTGAATAGTATTCCCTTCCTTTAGTAAACAGCAAATACAAATTTCCATCATGTCAGGATGGTTTGGCCTGAAGACCGGAAGAAAGCTCCCAGCAACTGCCAGACCAGCCATAATGGGAAATCCAGCCTTCTAGAATGTTCCTGCCTTTGCTAAGATCACAGGCACTTAGAGGCTCAGG